TGATTGCCCCTGAGCATCATTTCTGATGCCGGCCCATCACAAATGTGCTCCTTGATGATCTTCTCAAAGAGTTTCCCCAGGATTGAGGTAAGACTGACGGGCCTATAGTTACCCGGGTCCTCCCTCTTCCCCTTCTTGAAGATGGGGACCACATTTGCTACCTTCCAATCATCTGGCACCTGGCCCAAGCACCACGATTGCTCATAGAGCCGTGCCAGGGGCCCCGCAATAACCCCAGCTAGCTCCCTCAACACCCTGGGGTGGAGATCATCCGGACCCGCTGACTTGAACATAAAGATAATAAACACGTGAAAATAAAATACTGAATAAAGGGTGCTCTAGCAGACCCTTAAACAATTGACCCACTGGAAGGCAAAACAAGGCTGTTCATGGGCATTTCATAGCACCATATTAAAGTTACAAATTTACAACAAAAGACACTGTTTACAGCCCACTCCACAATATAAGGAATGAGGACAATCTTAAAAAGTTACTTAATGAAACACAGTGGTACAGCAATTGTGCCAAAAGGGAAAGTATAATATAAGGATGCAGAACAGGTTACTGTAAAGAAACACCTTCACCCACAACTAGTCTGCTTGACTAGATGGATTCAGCAACCAGGAAGCTGGGATCCTTCTTACCCTGTAGAAGCTTTGCTGCTTGATTGGTGGTCTGCTCTGTGACTGCATCTAGAGTGCAGCGCACACAACAAAATATGAGATCATAATTTGAGAGCATTTGCTGTAAAAATTCACAACTTGGCAGACCAATCTGTAGTCATGGTTTCAGTTTGCAAGTAATTGGCTTTTACACCATGGTGTCTAGATGGATAAATAGTTAGTTTTGTCAAAAGAAGATGTACCATGTATGCAGAAATTGTTAAGGAAATGACATTTTGAATCTGTATGTTCCTCATGGGCCTGATCTGAAACCCTTTCTCCAATCCACAGGAGTTTTTCTGTGGTGTGGAGAAAGACCTATCCAAAGTCCTTTGGAGCATCTCAAACCTCTAAATCTTCAACACTTGATCAAAATATAAGTTGCAGATTTAAGAAAAAGAACAATTTTCTGCCATGTTTGATGATTTTCTGCATAATAGTGAAATCCACTTATAGTAAACAATGATTTATTTCCTACCCTTTGCCTCTTCCCTTGTCCCCTAGAACAGCTTTATGATAAGCATATAATCAAAACTATTGTTTTGGACATGCCACTGAAATAATTTGGGGTTAGCGGTCCGTTCAAGTATGCTTCCCTCCAGGGCATACTTCGCACCATGCAGATGGTTTCCATGATGATTAAATGATGTGTTGAAACTGCTATGTAATATGGAGTACTTTCCCTCCTTTCTGCACTGATGGGCTAAAACCATGTTTCTAGGAAGTGACTTAAAGTAAGGAAGGATTATTTTTTCTGGTCCTACCCACTGTAAACATTGATTATCGAAAGATATGAGTCTTTCTAGCCTAAAATTTATTTTATTTTATGAAGTTGAATTAAATTATTGAGTGACTTATTGATTCTTCTTTGGGTTATTTTCTTGGAAATGTACAGGTAGTTTTAGCTAGCTGGAGACAGGTGAAGTTCCTGCACATGATTTACACTTGCTGTTCAGCAATATTAGACAGTGTTTATTAAGATAAAGTATGAAGATGTGCCATTTGAATGTGATTTCTTTTCTATCATCTGGGAGTTTAGGGGCCATAAAACATGGATAACTTCTGAAAGATTTGTAACAAGCACTTAAAAAAATTCTTAGGACCAGGTGTGAGTATAAGGACTTAATTTTTTTCAGTGATTTTTTTTTCATGACATGTGTCCACTTTATGCAAGCAAAATCATTTAGTTTAATAACTCTACATGAAGCCGGTATGATTTTGGAATGTAGTTTTTGGGATGTGTGGCATGCAGGTGGGTGTGCCTTTGAGACATACTCCTGGAGTGCTTTTGCACCTTCAGGGTTGCCCTTTTGCCTTGAACCCCTCTCTGCTGTCTGTCTCTTTGACCTTCGAGAGCCGGCTGAGATACGCAAGGTATCAGTTCCTTGGCCCATGGCACATTGGGCTTGCCAGTTCTTAGCAGAGGGAATTTTCCCAGCTAGAAGAATCGTATGCTCGTCCATTCATACACTCAGGAAAAGATAGATCTTTTCATTCTTAGAAGAAGCTTACCAATATTGTCAAATGCTCTGGAATTGTGCTTATCATTGAGAATTAAGTGGATTAAAAAGATAACAAAAAGATTTATTAAAAAACAAACAAACAGCCAAGAACAAAGGTAAGAAATCAGTAACTGTATGCTGAGGTACAGAGATATAAGAATAAACAAAAGGAAATATCAGAACAATAGCCTGTTCTTACCCTGTACCTTAAATCTAAAGATGCAGTTCCTAGTCAGTTCACCAAGTCAGAAAGCAGCTCCTGCATTTCCTATCAGCTTGCTTTACTCAGTCCCTGGCTGAGGGCCAGCAGCCTTCCTAGTACCCAGGAAGACTAGAGACAAGGTGTAATAGTTTTTTATCTGGCCATTTACAAATTCTTGGGTTTTTGGGGAGCCCACATGCTACTTGTAACTTCTTGGAAACCCCTGCCCCTCAGAGTCATGTTTACCAGACTAAAAGTTTTCTCGATTTAATTAAGATGAAGAGAGTATGTGCTTCTTTTCAGAAATGGAGAACAGTAATCCAAAATCCCTAAGATGCTGTTTTTTGCTTACTTTCCTCCATAGTTAGAAATGTTCTTCCTGTTCAGAGATGTTGCACATGTTAGGGTTTCTCCTTATAAAATCGAAATGACTCATTGTCTGGAAGGGCTTCTTTCTGATGCTTCTGTCAGATGTTAATTCTAAGAATTACTTCAGTCATTTAGGATTTCAGCTTGTAGGTACCAAAGAAACTCAGTTTATCACTTAAAAGTCAGTATCACATAGTGCAATTCTGGCCCTATTATAACATAGAAGAAATATGTGCTAAATCAAATGCCACAATGCATATAAACATAAGGATGATAAGGCTAAATACAGCTTGACATTATGTGTATGTGGAGACTACACATGCTGTATTAATCAGGAAAACTCAAGAAACCATGCAAGGTTCATGACAGGTTGGATACAGGATTTAGGGTGGGTATAGAGACAATTTCTGTTTTGGGGTTTTTGGATCCTTCCTCCTCCATTCATGTTTGCAATAGAATTATTTCATTAGAATACTCTTGGTCAGTGATCACCTGTCTTTTGCAAGTGGTGGGCTGGGTGGTTTTGGGAGCAGACCAGAGGCAGGAGGGGCTTTCCTTGTGCCAGGGCCAGGCATGCAGGAGCTGTACTCATGCCGCCACACTTCTCCTAGCCCTCTGCTCCCGGCTGCAGCATGGACGTGCCTGGAAGCTGCAGAGTCTCAGCATAGCTTCCAAGTGGCTGGAAGCTGCACCTGTCATAGCTGGGAAGGGGAGCAACAGCAGCCTAGACACAGCTCCCCATGGACTGGAGGCTTTGCCTGTGCTGCAGTGAGGGAGTGGAAGGGCTGGGGGAAGTGGCAGTGGTGTGGACACAGCTGCCACGTGAGTGGCTCTGGCACAGATGCAGGCAAAGTCCTCTGCTACTATGACATGCTGCCAAAACCACCTGGCTCTCATTGGACCAGAGCTGAGAGGGCAGGGAGAAGCACCAGTGGTGCAGGCACAGCTGGAAGTTGCCTGACACTGACACACGGGCACTGACAAAGCCCTCCAGCTCTGTGGGCCAGATCCAGTGAGTATGGGAAATATTTCAGTCCATATGCTTTGCCTTCTGTACCTCAAATCAACCCTTTCTGATTTCTTGTTAAGCCATCAATTGATATAGATAATGGACTGATTAACTTATAATGCCTAAGCAAATTTTTCTTTTAATTCTGCTTTTTGGTCTGTGGTGGTTTGCTCTCTGCCTTGGTTTATTTGATTTCCGTAAAAAAACAGTGGCTCATTTGATCTAGGTCTGATGCGACTCCAAAGCCCAATTTATGGATATCAATGCATTTGTTGTTCTTTATTAGTTTTGTACTAAAAGGGAAGCAGGAGTGGAGTTGTTTTTGGAAACTTTTGTTTCATAGTGCATAGCAGAAATGAAGAAATGTTTCCTCCCCCCTCTAAAGCTTCTCTCAATAAGGAGGCAGCAGAAGCAGTGGCTTTTCAAGCAAAAAGCAGAGAAGTCCTTAAATGAATGAGGACATTTAAATGAACACACACAAAAAAACCCACAACTTACCAGCAATTGTTATCTTCTTCCCCTACCTCCGCTAAGATAATAATATGCCTGTATGTATATTTTGCTGTTTTGAGCACTTAATTCAACTTCTTCATTAGTGCAAATGGTACCCACACTGAATCCCATTTTCTATTGGATGCACAGCTACCACACACAGAAATGTGTCCTATGAAGATTCCTGGGTCCATCTGAAAGAGACAGAGTTGTTTTGTTTTGTTTTTTGAGGGGGAGGTAGGAGGGTTGTGTTACTGATGTGACCTGATGAAGAACAGTTTGCATTTGGAAGCTTGTCCAACTGTATTCCAGCCATGCAGTTGGTCCAATAAAAGACAAATCCTTGCCTCTTCCAGAGCTTTTTCGTTACTTATTTATAATGATTATGCCATTTTCATGCTTCTGTATTACCTGGTAGTATTTAGGAACTGGACTATTTCTTCTTATTTTGTAAAACATCAGTTTTGCTTAACATGCCTGCCAGTTGTGTTTCATGTTCAGTTTGCCTGAGTATCATCATGACTTTGCAACTTGCTTGCCAATGCATCTCTTTATGCTGGAGGGCAGGATTGAACCTTTGCTACACAGCATATCCTGTTTTGTTTTTAGTTGCCTTCAGAACAAATTTGCCTGGGCTTTTCTCTGTAGAAATCTCTGATTGTTTGTTTTTACTAAAGGAGCAAGAGTCAGACAACTTGTTAGGGACTGGTTGGTTAGCTATAAAAATGGGAGGAAGCCTGAATTGTTGATAAATGGAGTTTAACACAATATTGATTTAACATCTCCAGGTGGAGTTGGTGAATATAGGAGGAACTGACATTGTGGATGGAAATCACAAACTAACACTTGGATTACTCTGGAGCATTATCTTGCACTGGCAGGTGAGGTGGGGGTTTTTTTGCAAGAAGTTCTTCTTTCCAGGAGCTGTGTATGATCTCTTGAGATTCTTGCAAGCCTGTCTTTGTTTTCTAGCATGAAAAACATGGCTTTTATTTTTTTTGGTTTATAAATAAAAGTAATTCAGAGTTTAATTTTTGTCCCCTTTTATTGGCTGAATCCCATAATTTATTTTTTGATTATTGGTGCAGTTATGATTCTATGTGTTGCATAGAAACATTTAAAATCAAGACTAATCCATTTTATTCTTGTTCATTTCCCAGATTTCTAGTTTGCAGGTGTTTTAATGGACTTGAGTCTCAGGCTGTACCTGGGCCTTGAATTCTAGTCTTGCACCATGGTACTTTAACTGATTTCAGTGGAGTTATTTCCTTCCTTACACTAGCATGAAAGAAAGCGAATTGGAAGCATTGGCTGTGGCTTGGGCTTGATACAGAACTCAAGAAAATTCTCTTAGCACAATCTTGATTTGCTTTACTGTAAGCATAAGAGTGTATCAGGAAAAATGTTTGGTGCTGGAGCTGAAGGGGAGAAGGGGGAAGCCGTATACATGCCATGCTAGCTGACAACTCTAGGCAGCACTGAGGAGGCTCTTCTATCTTAGATGAGACGCACACCATTTCATTTTTACTCGGGTTCATTTCTGCTGTCTCAATAGCTTGTAATCAGGATGAGGCAAAGAGGGCTTGAACATCTTCACAATCTGAAGTTCACCTTCGGCAGGTATAGGCCATAACTTGACCAGTTTTATTGTCCAAACAGTATTATGGACTCTATTACTAATTTGTGCAATTACTTGCTGCCTAAGAGGGAACAAAATCAAGCAGTTGATATTTCTTTGAATGTTAACAGTTACTTATTTTCTTTTTACAGGTGAAGGATGTCATGAAGGACATCATGTCAGACTTGCAGCAGACAAACAGTGAGAAAATCCTGTTGAGCTGGGTTCGACAGTCCACAAGGCCTTACAGTCAGGTCAATGTTCTCAACTTTACCACGAGCTGGACAGATGGACTTGCCTTTAATGCTGTGATCCACAGACACAAGTAAGTGAAAGTTGTTAGGACATCATTTAGCTATACAAACAAGCAGCTTTCGGCCTCTTCATCCTGGAGCATTCAACAGCTTTTAGTCTGTATAAATGATTAATTGTTTTTCTCATGGTAACAATAACAATGGAGGGAAATTTACCAGTGCAGATCTTACTTTTGGGGGTCTAAGCCAAGTCTATAGCGTAACTTCTGCCCCCACCAAAAAAACAAAAACAAAAATCTTGAAATGGTTTTAAATCCTACTTGACAATCATTAGACAGAAAATAAGATGGAATGGGCCTCAACAAAGTTTTGTTGGCTGTATGGCCACTTTATTCCTGTCCTCCAAAATGAAAACACTTGGAAGAAAGTTTCTAATACTGCTCATTATTTGCAGCGTTTCTTCAGTGTGTAGAAAAAGAATAGCTTTGAAACAAATGAAACACTTTCAGTTTTGAATGCTTGTCATTTAAAAGAAAACGTTTTATTCTCACAATGGCACTCTTATTGGTGAACAGGAGATCAAAGGATAAAATAATACTTTGTGTGTCAGTAGAGAGCTGACGGTTTATTTCCTTGCCTCATTCTATAAAGATCTCTTGAAACTTTGCAGGGCAGTGAGCACATATTCTTTGTATTTTTGGAGGCATTTTGGTGGCGTTATTCATACCTGTCTGTTTAAAGTAATATGTTTATTCACAGGAGATTTCAGGTTTGGTCAGTCCAGGATAATTTTGTGTGTCAAGTGATTTTTTTTTTTTTTTTTT